ATCTTTGGAAGTAAGAGCATGACCCTGTCTTTCCATGGCCAGTGCAGCTGTGGTCAGCACAAGGACCTGGAAAGGAGGGTAATTGTAGACGGAGCCACAAAGGCTCTTGGTTCACTGCAGGCATTAACAATTTTTCGTTTTTCTCCTGCTTTTTGTGCATCATTTAGCTCTCTACTAAATATAGCACTGCAAGTAGAGTTTGAACAAATAGTCTTTTTGACCCCTTTCTCTGTGTTCTTTCTTTAGTACATCCCTATCCAGTCCATGCAGTCTTGTTCCCCAGTCCTCAGGGCATTCCTCCTTAGACAATATCTCATGGCCAGTTTTCTGCAGACATATAGCCAAGTTCAATCAAAGTTTGTACCTAAAAAAAGGAACAACAGGCCATCTGGACTCTAAAACCTCCTGAATTCTACCTCACCTAGAAGACACTGCTATTGTTCTATAGTCTTGGAAAATGGATTAGTCTTTGTTAGTTGGCTAATTCTCTAGATGTTTACTAAGATCCTATCCTGTGCAAAAAGATCACAATTCACTCTAACTGTGTCTTACTACTGAATTCACAAGCTTCAGGCCAGGCTAGGCAACTTAAATTTAATATATGACAGAATTTAATCAGAACTTTCTTTACATAAATAGTAAATTATTACCATGAAGGGACCCAAAATCTGGATGAAAGATGGAGAAACGAGGGAGTGTGTGGAGAGGAGACATTCCACTAGATGGCACAGAAGCTGGAAGAGGGAACTAGAGGAAGGAAGGGGCTGAACAGAAGTGGCTGCATGCCAGCTGGAGTGGGTCCTGAATGTACTAGACAGCTTTGTGTCACAATGACAGAATACCTGAGAAAAATAACACAAGAACGGAAGGTCTTCTGAATCGTGGTTCCAAGGCTGCAGTCCATGCCAGCTGGCTCCATTGCCTCAGGGAGTACAGCACATAGAACTGCATGGCAGAACCAAGCTGCTCACTTCATGGCAACCTAGAAGCAAGGAAAGAGGGGAACTGGAAACAAGACATGTCCTTTGCTCCCAATGATATTCTTCCCCCAAATAGGCTCTACCTCCTAATAGCCCATTCAGCAAATTGATGGTGAATTTACCAATGGATTCATCAATGGATAAAGTTACATCCTTCATATCTAATCACTGCTCAATGACATTGCCAACTGGAACCAAGTTTTCAATGCATACACCTTTAAGGCTATTTTTAAGCCCAAACCAAAATAATTAATTAGTAACCCAATTATTTTTTCAGTGTTCTTTATTTTTAATTCAATTAAACATTTTCACATTTCTCCTTATGGAGATAACCTGGCAAAGGCTGTATATGCATAAATACAATGCTATAGCTCATGGAAGTTGGTGGATTTCTTTGAAGGCCTGTGTACGTGTGGGTTTTCTACCAAGCAAATCTTTCAGAGGGAGGCAAAATTGGGATTATCCTAAAGCATGAATATGAGCAGGCATCAGCATTATTGTTTTACACTGTGGCATCCCTAATTACAAGCACTCCCGGATTTGTGGTGTTCACTGGGGCTTGAATTTTAAATGGGTTTCATTTACTGCCTTGAGACATATGCCCCAGCTCGTTTGGGATCATTTACATGCTTGGTAATTCTGTTCCTCCTCTGTTGACATCTGGAGAAATCCATTTTCATTCTTTTTGGCATGTTGTCTTCACTGTGAACAATCAAAGCAGCTTTGCTGAAAGATACTTAGTGCTTATTTGCTGGATAAATATTTGTATTTTCTGCATAATTTGCAGCATGGTTTCCCAGCAATGGAAAATTTTAAGGGGAAATATACATGTAAGAACTCAAGGGAATCTAATAAACTATGATGAAACTAACATGGAAAACTATCAGAGCTGCTGATATGAAAATCGTCCAACTAGTTTATCAATTTCCTAAGAGGTATCAATTAGGTTTCTGCATACAGTTAGGCACTAAAAACCACCATTGTACCTAATTCTGCATTCCTTTTCTTGGGAACTTACTGTACACCAGGTAGATAAGAACAATGAGCTATAGCCTAACTGAGGTCATCAGGGGTATAATGAAAGGGAACGTAATCTCCCAGGGAAGGTCATAATCCAAGCAGATTTTTGCGTTGTTGTATTTATGTTTGTAGCTGTCTTCTTAAAATTTTCCCTCATACTTCCTTGTATGGTTTGAATGAATTGAAAAACTGATTTTCAGACTTATGATGATAGCCATCATGAATAAACTAACCTTCTTGTGGATTGTAGAAATGGTTTATTTTTAATAAAATAAAAGTAGGCACTTTCTGGCACGCTTGCTTTATCATATGGTGATATTTGCCATTTCAGGACCAGACGCTAATGATGATGACATCATGCACTTAAATTTCCAGATCTCTAGAGCTATTAACTAAATAAATATGTATCTATTCTTTATGAGTTTGTGGTAGCAGTTACAATAACAAAAAAGTAACTGAAACACCAGTCTTAGCTGCTATTCTCTGTTAACAACTTCGTATATCTCAGAATCACAGACTAACTTAGAAAGTAAAGATACTGTCCTACATATTTAGCAAAGCAATCAGAAAATATACAAATGTCTATTGAGCAAGATTAATTAATACTTTAAACTTTTGTTACATTTACTTGTGTGTGTGTGTGTGTGTGTGTGTGTGAGCGTGCACGCACGCACAGATGTGTACAGATATGCATGCCATGGTGTATGTGGAGGTCAGAGAACAACTTGCAGAAGCAGAGTCCCTTCTTCCACCATGCATGTTTTGGGGATCAAACACATGCTATCAGTTATCAGGGTTGGCAGCAAGTACCTTTACCAAACACTGAGTCCTCTTGCTGGCTACAAAAGAATTGTTAATAATAATAGAGATTTTATATGTATCGAGAAATGTGCTGACTCGTATAAATACCCTACATTCTCTAGGACAGAAAATAAGAACAAATAAGTGTGACAAATTGTTTTACTTAAAGGTATTTTGAATGAAAATAAGAGAATGAGAAATACACTCAAGGTCACTTAAATTGGGTCTTCCATAGGAGGAGTTGATTGAGAATTTGTTGAATCTACAGGAACCATAACCAAGAAGTGGCTCTACATTTCACTGGATACCATTGCTAGGAAAGCTATCTCTCTCTTCCCTTCCTTACTCTCATATGCTGATTTTTCTGAGTCTTGTGGCCTTCTTGTTACTGATACCTTTGCTGAGTAGGGCACAGGTGACACTGGAAGTGTCAACCTCAACCTTCCAGTTGATATGACTTCATTCAGGCAGTAATTAGACTGAGAGTGGCCACTAAATTCCAAATCCACACCCCAGGGCACATTCCTACTGTCCATGTGGAACACGTACACAAGTATGGTCTCATCATCTGGGTGGAGAAAATATGGGCCTCATTACAGACATAGTTATGTCTGGCTTGTGCCTAGGAATGAGACCAGACACTTGTCAGGGAAAAGGGCAGGCTTCATGGTAATCTAAGCTGTGTCAAATAATAGTGGGTAAGGACTTGATAAACACAGAAGCAGTAGGACATGATGATTCTTTGAATATGCACATGGCAGAGAAGGAAGAATCAGAGAAATGCCAAGGGTTCTATCTTTGGAAAACAGGAAATCAAGGTCAAGGAAGACACTCTTCAAGTGTTAGGAAATGATGGAGGAAAGGAGTATGTCTCAGAAAGTAGTGACTCACTATGTCACACTGAAGCTTCCATGAGAAGATTTTGAATTTTTTACCCTTTATTTTTTTCTTTTTTCTCTTAAATCTTGCTTTATTGGGGGCAGGAGCAGGGGTGGAGAACAGATAGATGTGAAGGGACAAGGAAATGAATGTGATCAAGATACATGATGGAAAAGACACATAGAATAATAAAAAGAGTAGAAAAATAAAAACAAAAAAAGTAAGAAAGTAGAGAGCAAAAGTATTTCCCAGTATAAAGTAACCACAAAAAAGCATTTGCTCAGGATATGAATTGGGGGTTTTGGCTCTATGAGTATACCTCTTCCCTTACTTAATCTCCTTCCTGCCTCCCTCACTCTGACCTTACAGTACCAGCACCTCATTCGATAGTGGATAGGGATTTCTTTATAAAAATTGTCTATAGTATAACCATAATTCAAGACGAAGGAATTCATTTCTAGGTTTACTTTAGGTTGACTCATTTGCCTGGCAATTTAGTCTTGCCAAGAATTTCTTGATCCGGTGAACGTTTTAGCTCATATCTGCTTTACCTCCTCACCCCAACCTGCTTTCCATTTCCAACCTTTGTTTTCTCTTTACTGCTTTTGACATTTCCTTGGTATCTACCTTCCTTTGTAAACTGTCTGATTCAGACAATCAATTCCTAAAGGACACTTACATTTTTATTATTTTATACTCATACTGAAAACAAATCTGAATACCTTTTCTCTTCTGTTACCTCACTCTATGTTTGATATTCTGTATACCTAGAGGCAGTGAGAGTCTACCCTCTATTTGTATCAAGAGGCCTGGTGTCTGCAATTTGACATTTTTCAGTTTCACCCATATGCCACATGCCAAGTCAAAACTCTGTGGCTCCAGGTTGTAGTTTGATTTCTACCAGCCTCTGGGACTTTTGTCATTTTAGATGCATTTACTCCACATAATTATCAAAATTTAGTTTTGAAATTATTTTGGTATAAAAAACAAATAAAATCTGGGTTAATGTTATTATTATATGCCATTAATATTTTATTTTTATTTTTCTTCTGATATTTAAAGGAATTGATACATTTTCCCAGGTTTCTGAAAGTACCATTGATCCTAGGGGCTCCGAGCCTTCAGTGCTTAATGGAAGACCTAGCTTTGTTGAAGTTATATGTTCCTGAGTACAGTTGTGCCATGGCACAGGCGTAGAAGTATTCTTTGGTCTATCTCAATTCTACTTTTCTCTCCCCATTTCTATCTTTTGGCAGAACAAATCCTTTCGTATTACCTATAGTTCCACTTCCCCTCTGCACAGTGGATATTTTAAGAATGATGAATATGTCTGAGCTTGGAGAAGCTGCACCCTTCCTCAGAAGAAATACTGATCCTCTGTTACAGTCCCCGGTCTTTGATGGTAAGACTTTTGTGGATACTGATGGCTTGAGTTCATATTATTACTTCAAGGTGGTATAACTATTTACTTGATTGCAATGAACTAGCAGTTCTGGAGACTAACTTATTTCCGATGGTGTGCAAGCAAATGCTATGAAATCTTTGAACAGCTGAAGAGGACAAAGTGTCCAGGCCAGGAATAGAAATTCCCAAGAAAAAAGAAGGTGGCTGGGAGGAATCCCAGTCCCTTATCCCATTTATGAAGCTGTCAGACTAGTAGTCTTTTCTAGGAGATGTCATAGGTCAACCCTTTCTTAGACACCTCTTAATTATCAGTGAATTCTTATTTCAGTGGGGAGAGGACTGTGACTTGGCTGAAGGTTGGCTCTGCACACCGTGAAGAAGAAAGGAAATGATGTTGGAAGGCTGGGAGGCTAGAGGCGAGAGTTGGTCTCTGGATGTCTTCAGACCAACTCTCTTCCTGCTGTTGGAACCTAGGCCTCTGTCCTAGGTCAGCGGGGTTTCTCTGCCAAGCTATAAGAAAGATCATTTATAGGAGGCTGACACTGGAATTTACAATTTCTTTGTGCTCAGGCAAGTCCAAAGGTTAATGAGGATTTAGCTTCAAGAAAAAAATGACCAAGTTCTACATTAAAATTTCCAAGTAAATATAACCTTAACCCCCATTCTTTTTTTATGTACCTGGACTGCATGACCATTCTCTGCATTTCAGCTAATTGGAGATTGAAAGTCAGAGTCACAGTGTGGTTTGGCATCAGGTCACCTACATGTCTTAATTCCAGAATTATTTAACAAGTGCACAATAAAAGCTGAACTAAGAATTAGTCAACATCAGACTTCAATGTGACCAACTATAATTCAAGCCAATTACGAAAGAAATTGCATTTCCATCACGAATTCACCAGTGCTGGATCAGCTCCCAGTTTCCCATCCTTGTATTTCATTAGTATGATTGTATTTCAAAGTAGCTAATTATAATCCTTCAAATCAAATACAACAACAGAACAATCCCTAGAGTCAGAAGTGGCCATGCAGAGGCCTATTATATGCAGTTAGGTCACTGAGACAAGATGGTGATAGTGGTACCAGGGAGAAAAATAAAAATTGGGCTAACACAGTAAAGATAATTGGATCATTCATTTAATAGAGTCAACATTATAAGTGATTACTTAAAATAGAGCAATCAACATAATCTCAATTAATTTTATTAACATACAGTTCTTCTTTATGGATATTCACTGGCAACAAAAATGTTGAAAAATCACCAAAAGTTATCTATCTCCCTGAGCTAGGTAACAGTAGAGTTTGTGTTTAGAACTCAGGCCAAATGGAAACAGTTTGACAATGAGTGTATGGCCAGAAGTTCTGGCTTCCAATTCCCTGTTCTTGACCATCTACTGCTTTATAATTAGACTAAAGCATCACCTTACTGAGTCTTCTTTTTCTCACCTGCCAAAGTTAGATGAACAGAAATCACTTGCCCTGCCTACCTGCCTTCACAGTTTTTAGGACCAAATAATACTATCAGTTTGAAACTAAGTGTAGTAGAATGATACCCAGAAAAAAAAAAAAAGCCTAGAATGGCTGAGTGTGAGGGAGGAAGACCAGTAGTTTTAGAGCTAAATATAAGAAAAAAATCACTCCAGAATCAAATAAACAATTTTATACTAGAAGAGATTAGGTATCTGTTTAATAAGTCTACAAGTTTGAATACAGTATAACTCCAATTTTATCTCATACAATAGAACAGAGCCTCGTAAGAAATGATACAGAGAAACAACTCTGGTCACTTTTAAGCTTGTGTGTTATTGGTTTTAATTTTTTTTATACTTCTCAAGTTTTTTTCTAGTAAATGTTGACCTTCTTCATATTATATAACATATTTAATTAGAGTTGGTTATCCCAGGGAAAATAATGTAGAAAAAATATCCTTCACTTATACATTTGAAAGCCAAGACCCAAAAAGATGAAATAATTATTTTTAACTCATTACTAGCAAGGCCAGTACTAAATTGTAGATGACCCAATTCAAATGCATTTCTATCTGCATCGCAGCTGACCAAAAGGAAAAAAAAGCTTGACTTATTTAATGTATTTTATCTTTTAAAGAAAAGTTATTGTCATTGACTGGGTCTCAGGGAAAGGCTTCTGAAAATTCTTCACTCCCACTGTTTCCAGGGATGCCAAAGAGAAGAGCTCATCATGGGGAAGAAGGTGAGCCCTTCTTGAGAGAAACACCAGAGAAAGAAAAGTAGCTAAGCACTTGTTAAAAGAAGCATGAGATAATGGAAGAAAACTAATTTAAGAGGAGGGTAATTTGATTGCTAGAGTCATTATTCTAATTGCTGCTAATAATTACCTATGGCACTGTTGGCACTGTGGGCAAGTCTTATCCCCTTCAGTGAGTGGGTGGAACAGAGAGGGTGAGGGAGAATTATCAAATTTCTTTCAAGTGATAATATATTTTGAAATACATAGTCTTTAATATGCTAAATAGGTACTTTTCAAAATCAAATGTACTTTCATATACTAACATAAAAACATCTGTGATTGCATAAAAGGGACCAAAATAATAAGTACAACACAAAACCAGTGTTAAAAATCATAAACAAGTAGAAAGGCAATGAAAACTGAGTTACAAAGGATTATTACATCTGCTTACAAAGCAATTTTTAGGGGAAATTGTAATTAGGGAAAAGGATGAAGCAGTACATTGTAGATTGTCATAGCAAGAAAATAGTGAGCAACAAAGTTCTATGCAGAGACAAAAATGGTGGGAGAAGAGAATGGTATCCAACTCATTGTCTCTCTTTGTAAACATTCATCTCCTGAATCACCGCCCATCTTTATGGAAAGCTTCTGGTGAGGGCCACATGTCTGAACAAATGAAATATCTAAAACTTTTGTGTTGACCAAGATTTTCTGTCCCACCCGGTCCAGCAGCTGTTAAGTCCCAAAGAATCACAAAGAGGTCTACATTAGTTATAAACTGATTGGCCCATTAGCTCAGGCTTCTTATTAACTAATGCTTATAACTCACATTAGCCCATAATTCTTGTCTGAGTTAGCCAAATGACTTGGTACCCTTTTCAGTGAGGCAGTCACATCTTGCTTCCTCTGAGGCTGGGTCACAACTACAGTCTGAAACTTCCCTCTTCCAAAAATTCTCCTTGCCCTGCCTCTACTTCCTGCCTGGATGCCCACCTATACTTCCTGCATAACTACTGACCAATCAGCGTTTTATTAAAAATAATACAAGTGACAGGATAAAAGACCATTGTCCCACAGCACTTTTGTAACTCAGATATTAATGATAATAGTAACCTAGTTATCATTCCCATTAGTGTCCTAGATGAATGATGTTTTTGTCAATCTTCTCCCCTCAACCTTTGTCCTATTTGGCTGAGGAACTCTTGTATCATGCTAAGACTCATTTGTAGTATTAGGGGCGGCGGGGCTGCATCCCCAGCACCCCAGCCGCCTGCCCGGCTAGCTCAGTCGGTAGAGCATGAGACTCTTAATCTCAGGGTCGTGGGTTCGAGCCCCACGTTGGGCGCCATATGTAGTATTAGGGGCGGCGGGGCTGCATCCCCAGCACCCCAGCCGCCTGCTCGGCTAGCTTATGCCCCAAAATAATTACACAGACACTGTATTCTTTTAAGCACTGCTTGGCCCTTTATCTCTAGCACTTACAGGCTAATTCTCACATCCCGATCAACCCATCTCTAATAATCTGTGAGAACCGGTCTTACCGGGAAGAGTTCAGCATGTCTAACCTGGCAGTTTGCTTCATGGTGTGTGTCTGCCCGGGAGCGGGGCATGGCGTCTCTCCCAGGCATCTGCTCCAGAGGAGAGCTGTAGAGACTCTCTGACCTCACTTCCTCTTCCTCCCAGCATTTTGATCTGTTTACTCCACCTACCTATGTCCTAACCAATAAAATGGGCCAGGGCAGTTCCTTTATTAGCCAATGACCTTCCTCCATCACTCATTTTCTTTGAAAAGCACATTTTCTATTCATCTTAAATGGTTACTTGCCTTGGGTGGAAGAGAATTTTAATGAACCTAGAGAAGCTTCTCATGTATTCACACAACTTCTAGCTTACTTTACCTGGAAGTATTTTTAAGGATTAATTACTTTTGTGGAAGCTTTCTTTATTCAGGGATAAGGTATTGAGTGAGGAGACAGAGAAGGAAAAAATAATATATGATGGTAACATGAGTCAATTTTAATATACAGCGAAGTAACTGATATTCTCCTTCAATCCCTTCTTCAATTTAGCATGCCATTTTTATACTGAACTTTCATTCAAATTTTAAAACATGACCTACAGAAACCCTGAAGAAGAAGTCTATTAACACACCGATTTACACAGATGTAACCAGATCATTTTTGAGTGCGTCTTTTGCAGGGACCAGGGAAAGAGTGGAATGATCAGGAGTATATCCAAGGGTCTAGTGTTGTGAAGTTTAGGATGGTGCATGTGAGTATTGTAGACATTTTTCTTACAAGCTGGCAGACCTCTGCTTGCTGAGAATTTTCTTGTTCCTTTAAAATCATGCATGGGCAAGCAGCCATAGTTAGCATTCATGTTTTTATATAACTTTCTAACTTATATTGGTGACTTAGCAGAAATAAGACTGCATCAGTATGAAAATATCCAGTAGAGATTCCCTTAAGTACTGTAGTTATAACCCATATTTTCTCTCTAGGGAAGAAGAGGTGCTGGGTTTATGATGGGAAGAATGCTTATGTTGAGGCTGAGGTTAAAGAACGTGATGCTGATGGAAAAGTAATTGTAGAGACCAGTGGTGGAGAGGTAAAAAAGGTCTTATTCCTTTGGGGTTTTCTGTATTCTCTGTTTAGTCAGGTTCCAAGGTGTATCCTTTCTCTAACACTGAGCCCATGGGGTAGGGCATGCGCTGATAAAGGAAACCTCATTCATGTTTAGGGTGCTCCTATCTTCCTACCCTTACCATCAAAGACCTAATTAAGGACATTGAATATTACCAAATAAGATGGTTATTGTGGAAAATACAAACTCTGGGCTTTACAACTGTTTCCACTTCTTTTATCAGTGTTTCAAGTTCTTCCCTTTTTCTCCCTCTCCATCTCCTCTTTCCTTCTCCCCCTTTCTTCCAACAACATCTGCTACTTATTTTCCTTGATACACAATCTCAATCTATGATCTCTAGCTAATGATACTTCTGTCTTGGAAATTAGCTGTATATAGGACCAAGAAAAAGTCAGAGTGGAGAAAGAGTTCTTATCTACCATGCACAAAGACCCAAACTTGATCTCCAGTGCTTTCAAAGGTGTTTTTTTTTCCTACTAGAAAAAGATGTGCGAGTCGAATGAAATCATTTCATATCATAACAAACAAGAGATGGATAATGTCCACTTATGCTAAAATCTAGAGAAAGAAAATTAAAGGCTTAGATGGCAGAAGAAAGCTTGCAGTACCCAGGAAGCAAAGAGAGAAAGAGATAAATAGCACAGAAAGTAGGTTCATGCTTTAAAGTCATATTCACATGTTTTTAAGCAGGATCTACTATGGCCCAACCAGCTAGAAAGTCATCAACAGATCAATGTGTTGATGAAGTTGATACCCTCATGATTCAATCACCTCTCAACAATGCTGCTAATCAGAGACCAATTCTTCAAAATAGCTTTCTTGTAAACTATAATAGGAGTTTAATTTATTCACAGTTCTGAAGCCTCAAGAGCATGGTACCAGTGTCAACTCAGCTAGAATGAAATGATGGGACTATATGTATAAGAGAGACATCACATAGAAAGACAGGGAGCAAAGAGGCTGGCGCTTGACCAACAGCATTTTTATGTGAACTGAGAGCCAGACGAGAACCATCTACTTTCTTTCAAGTGCTGCAATCCCAGTATCCTAAACAAACCCTCTTTAAGTTGGACCTCTTCAATGTCCCGCACCATTTATCCATTTTTCCATGCTAGAAATTAATCTTCCAATAGACATACTACATGGGGGAATTCCCAAATTGTATTCCAAACTCTAGCATACTCTACCTACTCCCAATATCTGATCTGTCATATAGTTCAAGATGTAATTCTATATTGGTCATCATTTCTTAGGGGAACAGCCACAAGGTAGCACATTATGGTGGGAAAACACGCAAACAAAACTTATCACTTAATGGTCTGTAGGAAAAAAGTGTGAAGTGGGTGCTAGAGTCCCACAATAGCTTCAATACTCACAACCCCACAATTCCATGCCCTTAGTCACCCAAGGACCTCTCTGTAGATCCCAATTTTTAAAGGTTCTACAACCTCTCAGAAGTATCAGGTCTTTGGCACGTGAGCTTTTGGGGAACGCTAAGAATTAAAAGTGTAACAGTGGGGCTGGAGAGATGGCTCAGAGGTTAAGAGCATTGCCTGCTCTTCCAAAGGTCCTGAGTTCAATTCCCAGCAACCACATGGTGGCTCACAACCATCTGTAATGGGGTCTGGTGCCCTCTACTGGCCTGCAGACATACAGACAGACATAACATTGTATACATAATAAATAAGTAAATATTAAAAAAATAAAAGTGTAACAGCCTTGGGTCATCTAAGGTGGATGGATGTTTGTTTACTTTGAAAAATCTTCTAAAATGCATATGAAAATGATATGCATAGGGGAATAGAAAAATGGATATTTGTGTGTGTGAGAGAGAGAGAAGAGAGAGAGAGAGAGAGAGAGAGAGAGAGAGAGAGAGAGAGAGAGAAGGTCTCTCTATGTGGTACTGACTGTCCTAGAACTCCCTAGATGAGGCTGATCTTGAACTCACAGAGAATCCTCTTACCCTTGCTTTCCTAGTTTTGGGATTAAAGACATGCCTCCAAACTCAGCTAAGTATGTATTCTTTACATTTCCTGTTCTATGCAGTGTCTGAGAATTAAGGAAGACAAACTCCAACAGATGAACCCTGTAGAGTTGGAAATGGTTGAAGATCTGTCGATGCTGCTTCACCTCAATGAAGCCTCTGTGCTTCACACCCTGAGGAGACGTTATGACCAGTGGATGATCTATGTGTGTATATACTAGGAAAATCTCATTCTGGAACTCATTTTGGCTATGCACAACCTCTTCTGGTGATATTTTACATTAGTTCAAATATCCTCATATAAATATCCATTGGGAAGTAACTATCTCAACATTTCTGTAATTTTGTAATTTTATCTTGCCAGTATGCATGTCATTTCCCACAGAATATTATTTCCCACAGAATATACATTGAAAGTATGAAGCCTAGAACCTGTTATGGAAAAATCCAAATGACAGCTTAATTACTTATTAGTTAAGGTTATCTTCATTAAAAGTATTTCTGGAGGAAAATGGACTTGATATGTTGTACTTCCAACATAGTTTTGTGTAAAGATAAAACCAGGACATGATTGTATTCATATATACAACACTTAAATGCATATGCACAAGTAGGCTGGCATTAGAAACGGATAAACACATATTCACATGCACAAATTCCTGTCTGTGTAAAGAGATGATCAATTGTTGGGCATTTCCAGAGCATTCTGTATCAGCGTTTTCAGGAAAGAAAAGCTGAGGCTCTTATGTCTGTGATTTATGGTAGCAATTATTGCCACGATTGTCAGTTTATGTATCATTTTAGCACTAGACTGCATGCTCTTTGAAGAAATCCTTGATTTTCCCATCAAATGCTCAATGAACACTTAAGTAATGAGTCATCTAATGAAAAAGATTAAAAAAAAAACCTGGGTGTGGTGGTGCACGTCTTTAATCCTAGCCCTTGGGAGATAAAAGCAGGTGGATCTCTGAGTTTAAGGCCAACCTGGTCTACACAGGGAGTTCCCAGACAAACAGGGCTATGTAGCCCCTTTCTTAACAAATAAACAAACAGACAAAAGATAAAAGCACCTCATTTATGGGCAAGGAACACTGCCAAGTCCAGATGCTGACAGAAATTGCTAAGTACAGACTTTAATTTGTATTCCTATGTGTATAGATACCTACTGCTTTATGCATAGAGGTTTAAGAATAGCATTAAGGATTCCTGACACTGTAAGACACAGTGGAGGACAGCAGAGCAACCCCCCTGTTTGGAGGGCAGCATAACAAGCTCCTAGGAGAAAATGGGGTTATCTGCTTTTATGACAACCAGTCCAGTTGCTGAGGAATCAGTTTGTGCAGTCCCAGGTGAAGATGGCTTTCGCCTTGCCCTACATTTCCCCTGTCTGGTTGAACTCCCTGGTGTTACCTTTCTATAAAATGGGACAGTAATGTCTGACTCTCTATATAAATTAGAGGATTAAAATAAAAAAGAAGTAGAGCAGGTAATTCAGTGCCTGTCACTGAACTAGCATTTTAGAAACAAATTGATTTATCCATAGTCATTATACGTCTGCTGGTTAGTTTCCCTATCTCTTTCTTCTAAACCTATTCATTAGAAGCAGCATTAGGCTGAGACTAGGCTAAGATAGTGGCGGTAGGGATCCATTATCATCATGACTGTGACACACAACTATCCTAGAGGAACTGTTTTAGTTCCTCTAAAAATTTGTCTCGCAACAAAATTGTCACTGGGTGGGTAGTTTAAAAGAATACCCATTCGCATGCAGTACTAAAGGACATTAGTCTCAAATTAAGTAAAACCAGTGGGGTTTTACATCTTGTAGAGACTCTAGAGGAAAAGCTTTCTCCTCTGTTCTGACTTCTTAGTGCTATTGGTATTCCTTGTGATGATTTACCTTAGTCTCGTCAAGAGTTACATGTGGGTGCTCGAGAAATAGCTCAGTGCTTTAGAATATTGCAGATGTTCCAGAGGAACCAGTTTTGGTTCCCAGTAACAAACAATATGGAGGTTTGCAACCATCTACATAACTCCAGCTTCTGGGGATCCATTGTCCTTTTCTGACCTCTGCTGACACCAGGCATATATGCATGCACATGCATTCATGCATGCAGCCAAGTGCTCATGTACATAAAGATAAAAATAAATCTTTCTTTAAAATTTACATGTGTCAAATATTTTGGCTCTTAATGTATCTCCAGGAGATCTAGAGGTAATCCCAGGTCTAACCCAGATCTGTCTGCTTCTCTTAGAAGTCCCTTTGCAGGGATTCATATCTCTCCTCTTCCATCCTCCCTTATTAGTAAATACTTAAGCTTACATCACAGGGGAAGCTCCAACACACCTGTGAGTTCATCCAGTCTGTTTTCTGAAATCCACTCTGATCTATCCTCAGACATATTCAGGTGTCTTCTGTGTGGCTATAAACCCTTACAAGTGGCTCCCAGTGTATCAGAAAGAGGTCATGGCTGCCTATCAAAGGAAGAGGCGATCTGAGGCTCCCCCTCACATCTTTGCTGTTGCTGATAGGGCCCTTCAGGATATGCTTCGCAGTAAGTATCTAACCTACAAAATGAACATCTCCAATCCACGTTTTCTCCATGTCACCAAAGGACACTTAGGCATTGTGTGAAGACATGGCTTCATAGCTATCTCATCACTTGAAGCCTCTGCTTCCATCAAGATAAAGTGCAGGCAGCATAATATGGACCTCCAATGGTAATGGGGACAGTAAATTTGTGCTTCAGAGTGAAAGAATCCATTTGTAGTGTTGAGGCTGGCCCAGAAAATGTCTCCTGCATATGTGTGGTCTTATTACACCAAGCATCTGCTATACTGTCTGACACAAAGAAGCTAGTCTATAACCATTATTATGCTATGATTCTTAAAAGGCTAAAAAGTCAGCTATTGGTTATTCTTTTATTTAAAGCAAGGAAAGAGACCTAGAATTTATATGTGCTGTGTCTGTAAAAATAAGGATCTCTGTTTTATACTGTATCTTTGAAGTGAGGGGTTTGCAAGTGTAGATGAAACAAATCCTTCTCCCTGTTTCTAAGCTGAAACTATAGATAAGAAAATTGTGAATAAATTCATCCCAATACATAAACTTCAAGGATAAGAAGTTCCTAGCATTTTCTTTCCTTTTTTTTGAAGGTGGAGAGAATCAGTCCATACTCTTCACGTAAGTGTTTGTCTCATTTTTCTTTTCTATGTCTGTTGTAAAATGAGAATAAAATTTCTCTACTTTGACTTGTTTAATCTTTAGATACAAAATGCATTCCAGGTAGGAAAAGATACTCTGCAAGTAGTCATAGCACTTCAGTGAGTTCTGTAAATAGAGCTTAAGAATATCTGCCTCTATCATTTAAAGAGACTCCTTGAAAACTATACTGTAAAACACATTTAGTTTCCTCTCAGAGAAGGGGCTTCCGGTCTTGCAAATGATCAACTTCTCTATGCTGTCTAATTAAGCAGAGAGGTGAAGGCAGAGGCTATTTGTCCATTTCCTAACCACCCAGACCCTAAATAATCAAACAGAAGCTGTATTAATTAAAACACTGATTAGCCTATTAGCTCAGAATTCTTATCAACTAAATTACATCTTAAATTAACCCATTTCTATTAATTTGTATTTTACCATGAGGCTTGTGGTTTACAGATAAGGTTCCAGGGTGTCTGTTTCCTTTGGTGGCCTCATGGCATTTCTTTGACTCCACCTACTCTCTTTCTTATCTCTTTTAGTCTGTCTATATTCCACCTTGCTATAGGCCAAAGCAGCTTTATTCATTAACCAATAAAATCAACACATATACAGAATGACATCCCACATCAGAGAGGCTCTATTAATGCCCATAGAATATGCCCATGAAACACTTAATTTGCTGCTTTGAGTAGCCATGGTACAATACATATGGTAAAACATAGTGTGTCTTTGGAGGATAACAAAAGAGAGTGAAGAGGACCTCAGGAAACCTTATTAAAGGTTCATTTTGATGGAAAGAGCAGCGTGTGGGCATGGTAGGGTGAGCAGGTGGCTGAGACCCAAGGGGTTCTGACATGCTCAAGTCTGTGATGTTTTGCTAAGATGATATCACATTGTGTAATTGAACTTCTTTTGGTTTCTGTAACCTTAAGGAGATCATAGGCTTTAGAATTGTAGAGCTAAGTGGTTAGTTCAATTTCAAATCTATGTTCTTTGTAAATAGCACGGGCTGTCTTCTGGATTTTATGTACCTAAAGGCAGGCTTGAACAAATGTACTTGATTATCAAAGGGGAAGGAGAAAACTAAAGTGTAGCTTCTCAGTGAAAAGATTGGCAGGTCATTTTCTAAGATAAGGGTTGGATATGATCAGAGCTGGCTAACTTTCATTACAATGATCATCAGAACAAGTTAACCATTTTTTCTCAATTTCAAATCACAGAGGAGAATCTGGTGCTGGGAAGACTACCAACACCAAACTGACTATTCAGTATTTTGCCACCATGGCAGCCATAAGTGAGACCCAGAAAAAGTTGGTGAGTGTCCATAACACCATGAACAGTGAGGTGACCTCATCTACTGAGACATGGAGATTCATCCCCGACCAGTTATGGGGAAGAAGGATGAATTCTGGTCTCTGCCACCTATTCATGCAGTCTGACATGGAGCTACTCATGTGCACAGTGGGTCTTCCCACCTCAATAACCCGGAACCATTTGTAACCATGAGAAGCTGTTACACTTCTCATCAGACCATGTCTGACCTTGTCACTTTGGATTTCCATTTCAGTGTTGGGTATCACCACCTGTTTTTTGCTGTAACAAGTAAGAAAGATACCAAAATATAGACTTTTCTCAAATTTTAAACCATAAAACATTTCCTTTCCCATCACCTCATTCCTGAATTTGCTTGATATCTGTAAGCATCCGCAAACTCTGTTTTTTCCTACATAAAACTTTGTTTCAGTGTGCATTTAGTCTTGTCATTGGTGTGGATTAGTTGGTTTTATTTTGATGTTGAGTCTTATGATGTTACATGATTAATGTAACATAAAATAACAAAACGTAACATGTACAGCAGGTTATAGAAACCCTTGCTTATATAGGCTTTTATAATTCTTTGTAAGGCAATAGATACATGTTATTCAGAATGAAATAGTATGAATACATTGTATATTCTTGACCATCATATACTACATGTATATATATATAAAGTCCTATGAAACAGGTCTTTGAAGAGAAATTTATAAAACCAATGCAGCTCTGAACTGATGTGGAAGTAGCTGGTCTTTCAGGGTCACCCTGTGTAGACAATCCATATTCTTGAATATGCAAAATTCAAATTCACAATCAATACCATTACTAGTCATTGCTTGGTGAGACCTTCTAGATTTACCTAGGAATAATGTAAGGGAACTATGAATTAATAATGCCAAGAAACTGATGTATTATCCTAAGACAAATTTCTCATTCTTTTTGGTTTGCTAGTAAATGTTTTCTTTATTCACTTGGACTCCAACAAAAACATTAGAAACCACCTAAATGTTTTCTTAGGAGAAAGTATATGAAACCACTATCTTCCGTGCTTCAATTCTTCTGAATCTGTTTCCAAATAGTGTTTTATCATGTTTGGAAACTATAGGCTACTACTTGTCATGTCAGAAATGAGGCTAGATTTGTATCTGGAGCGTTTGCTTCAGTGTAGAATCCTGGTAAACCTTAGTCAGCTATGCTTGTCTTCCATGCTTTTTAGGGGATTTCAGAAGATCTAATTGTCCAAATGAATCCTGTCTTGGAAGCATTTGGAAATGCCAAAACTCTGAGAAATGACAATTCTTCTCGTTTTGTAAGTAGCATGATAACATCTCAGAATCTATAACTTTTAGGCTATCATAAAGTTTGTGTCTGAGTACAATCAACTTTATCATATTGTGATATTCCTCAAAAAAGCTTTTTTTTCCCAAGATAAGGCCAATTAAAACTACTCATGTCTATGTATCTTTTATTTGGAAGAGTCCATTCTAGTTATTTTAACACACATTTCCTTCCCCTTACTGTAGGGAAGTGCATGTAGCAAGATATAATAATACTTAATATGTTCTTACATTGTAGAGATTTGAAATTATTTCTCCTTAATTTCCTGTATATGGAAGTCAATTTGGTCACTATTTCCTAATTCTCTTAATTATTCTTTCTGCTCTTTCTTATGATCCCCCTTTTCCTGCATATTAACCAGGGAATTTTTAACATTGAATAAGATATTTCAATGTGCTTCTTTGATAACTAGATATTGCATGATGGAGGAAAACACTTGGTTTTAAAAATCAAGTTTTACAAAACCATTTTGTGTCAAGAATGAGTGGCAAGAAGAAACTATATAAATGAATAAAAACTGAAGAAATCTTCGTGTTTGAATATCTGAGCATAACTCAATAATAGACTCAGGCTAATCACCTAGTTTCTGACCAAAGCCTGGCGATACAACATTCCTGTTTATATTGATTTGCATACACTTGTACATTAAACAATTGCTATTTGAATGTTTTTAAAATACAGGTGCATGTTTTCTGAAATATGAAAGATAGGAATATAGAATACAGAAGAGAAGAGAAAAACTTTAAAGGAAGAGTAAGGTTTGGGAATGTAGCTAAGCAGTGGGCACTTACCTGGCATGTGTGTGAGTCCAGGAGAGAGAGACAGAGAAAGCACACACACACATAGACAGGGAGAGACAAAGAGTGACACACACACAGAGAATATGAAATAAAATGAAGGAAAAAGAAAGGGAGGGAAGTGAAGGAAATTAAGGAATGAACAAGAAACAGATGAAAAAGAAGGAAAATAAGGTTAAGTTTGGAAGGACAGATAGGAAGAAACAGACAAAAGAAAAAATTTGATAAATGAAAGGAAAAGGACAAAATCCAATAAAAAGAAATAAAGATAGTTTTTAAAAATTAATACCAGGTATGCATGCATTCATATTGATTTTTCACATATATGTGTGCATATAGGCATGCACATGGTTGCCTGTGTAGCTGCCATTGTGCTGTGTGTTTTAATGTACTAGCTCAGTCCCCGGTTGTAGCCACTCTTCCTCTCAAGCTGGAATGATGTTTTGCCGTTGGCATGGGAGGACCTCAGACAGGCCATTTTTTTCACTCCTATGTTCTCATACCATAAACTGTGAGTGCCACTGTAGCTGGCATTCTGACCTAGATACTGTAAGGATGGGGCATCCTTTATGCCTTGCTGTATTCTTCTTTTAGGTTTTAATTAAGAAAGAAGAAAATGGAAAAATTAAGGTGTATTTTGAGACATAAGCCAGAGAAAAACCCCTCAGTCTACTGAGCACACATGAAATGAACCCCTAGCCTTTTGTCCATCTCTCCATCTTGGTTTATGTTCCCTTTTCTCTTACTCCCTAAACTACAACAAAAGTGGCTTTTCTTTTGATTCCAAAATACTTCAAATGCTCCTTTGTTAGAGTTCTTGAGTAGCCATGTACCTTCCGGACCGTGTTTAGTTTTATTATAAGGTGTCTAGTTCCTCATGGGTTCCTTACACCATGGCAGATAGTCACTGACTACTGAATGCATAACTGAACATGCTGAGGAGATTCTACATTCCTCCTTTTCAAAGAAGAGTGCTGGGGTCACATAGTTTCTGCAGTGTACATGAAAACACGCGGGCATAAACTGACAGATGTAGGACTGGACACTGTCAGCACTGCTGGAGTCTTGCTTATCAGTGCAGCTCTCTCTAGAATAGTGGATTTCAACCTTCCTAATGTTGTGATCCTTTAATACAGTTATTTATGTTATGATGACCCCAACCATAAAATTATTTTTACTACTACTTCTTAATGGTAATTTTTCTACTGTTATGAATTATAATGTAAATATCTGATAAACGGGATATCTGATATTGACTTCTGTGAAAGGGTTGTTCAACCCCCAAAGGGTTGTGACCCACAGGCTGAGAACCTCTGCTCTAGCCATTATCTTATCCTTATCATTTCAACCTCATCTTGCATTTTATTTTTCAATCTTTGAAGTATATAGTCACTTTGAGGATACTGTACACAATGAAGCCATTGCAGCTGGTCAACAAGTTTAGATGGGACATTGTGTTCTGTTTCTACCTAGGGAAAACTCATCAGGATGCATTTTGATACAAGTGGCACACTGTCATCTGCAGATATTCAGATCTGTAAGTAGCCATTGCACTCTCTGGTTGCTTTTCTTTTCAGTTTTGTAAGAATGTTGAATCATGAATCTTTATTAATTTTTAATCCTCCTAGATTTTCTAGAAAAATCCCGGGTAGTTTATCAGCAGCCTGGAGAAAGGAACTACCATATCTTTTATCAGATTCTGTCTGGAAAACAAGAACTTCGGGGTAAGTTTTAGACTAGAGCCCTCACTTATTCTAGAAAAAGACAAACAGATTCCAAGGAATGGAGAGTACTGTTCTAGTAAGTCTCTTAGTAGTTTTAGACCACATTTTATTCATCCTACAGTGGGAAATTTGGGCACTTATATAACCAATGAGGTAGAATAAATGGCAATTTATTTAAATTTTGTGTTAAAAGCAAGAAGATAATTTGCAGTGAATAAAAATGCCTTGGCAAGGTTAAGTGTGTGTGTGTGTGTGTGTGTGTGTGAGAGAGAGAGAGAGAGAGAGAGAGAGAGAGAGAGAGAGAGACAGAGACAGAGACAGAAAGAGAGAGACAGAGAGAGGGAAGGGAGAGAATGAGAGAGGAGGAGAGGAAGAGCAAGAGGTAATTTAAAGCCTTTAGTATTTAGTTTTCGAGTTATAGATAAGAGGTCAGAAGAGAAAGACGCTGTTGTAACCAATGGGAGTTTTATCAAAATAAAAAGTACTAAGGTACATGGCTTTGAATATGAAAAACAGATAGGGAAACCAGATAGAGTCAAAAATCAAGGGTGTTTTCTAAAGCAAGAACCATATATAAGGGCCAGGAGAGGACAGATGAAGAGCAGAAGTAGACTACAATCTGACTAGATTAGATCTACTTAGAGGAACGTGACAAAGTTATCATAGTAGTTTCTGCACATAAGGAGGTGAGCATACGCATGAATGTGTTTGGTGCTATAGAGGGTAAGTGGGATAATAGGGCATTAATATTTTTGATGTCAGTGTGTAGGATGATTTACCCTATTCTGATGCTATGATATGTGTGTAGAAAAATTTAGCCTGGTACGGTGTTATGGAGGCACTGATATTAGAGAGGAGAGATTGCAACTGTACTAGACTGAAATGAGAAGAGTTACTTAAGATAGTGTCTATGGGAAGTGGGGAGTGAATTCATGTAAGAAAAGACAGGTCTTGACTAAAATAAATTGAAGGTAAGAATGAGGGAGAGTGAATAAACATCTTCAATTTTTATGATTTGATTTGGATAACTGAGCAGAAATATGAAAACAGATAATGGGCTAATGAAGCACGCCTCATATATTAAGTTCACTAATATTTATTATATAACTACTAGTCAACAGACAGTACTATTTAATCACAAAGGCTAAAGTGAACTCACCATTCTTTGTCTTCTTTATCTTACATTCTGCTTTAAGATCTACAAATCAACATACAAAGAAATATACAATTTTGTATTAGTGGTAAGTTTAAAAGCAAAATAAAGACCGATGGAGGGTGAGAGAATAAGATTTGATTGATCTGTTGGTGATTAACTAGGTTTTAGAAAAATAGTTAGGCAATTTATCTCTTGGGAAGGCTCTATTTCTGCAAATATCTATATGAGTGAGTGAGTGAGTATCCAGAGCTTTCCAGAAACTACAACTCAGTGGAGTGAATGATGAAAAGGTCCTGAAGACTGGGTGTATTTGCTTATTACAATAAGAAATGGCAGGGTTGGTAGGAGAGTGGAAAGGCTGGTAAAGGGGAGGCTGGCAGGGCTAGATCATGTTGCAAAAGGCAGAACTTGCCTATAATAGATTGAGTGTAGGAATATAGGAATTCATTTAAAATGAATGCTATTAACTAATGAAAATAGTTCGTTAGCATTTTGAATCTCATTAGAGAGCCAATTGCAGAAATTCTCAAATAAATTTGTACAAATTATCTTTAAAATTGGTTCATTTTGAACCAGTCTTGGCACCAAAATCTGATTTAGTCCGTGTCCTCCAGAGAATCAGAACTAACAAACATTTCACATACCCATCTTTGCAAAGATGCTTTATATAATGGTGGAAGCTGACAACTTCCAGCATGAAGTCGGCAAACTGGAGACCTAAGACAGCGAAAGGTGTCTGAGAGAGAACATTGACAGACATGGCCTGGCATCAGAGAGGCAGAAAATGTTGTCATTGGGTACTTTTAATCAACTACTTACAAGAATCTGGGATAGTATGCACATAAACTTTAGCGCTTTTTTTTAAACTAATGAATATAATGAGGTTAGATGACTATTCTAAATGGCACTAGACAAAGTGACAAAGGAACGGATGTACCGAGATCCAAATGCTCAAATTACTTGAAAATTTCTTCATGGACTTAAAGTGCCTTTTTCTTTGAGCCTGGGTCTCCCAGACTGGGTTTTTTTTTTTTTTGCACGTATAATTTGTTTTATTATTCTTTAAAAGGGTTCAGGGTTTGTTTTTAAATCAGGCTGAACATCTTACAAAAGTCTGACATCTCTCATCATCCCAAACTGGTTTCCGCGGGCAATACTTCACTAAATCCAAAAGAAAAAAAACTTTTAATTATAAAAGTCCAGTTCTAAACTGCCTAGGCTCCCACAAAACCAGTACGTGCAGTAGGATCAAAAACCCACTGCAATTGTTCTTGAATTCTCAGTATTCCTCATTGTCCGCTATGTTCAGCTAGTCTAGGCAGTTGGGTTTTACCGTGTAATTCTCCTCCATCTACCTCCCGAGAGTAAGGATTAAAGCATGCCACAATGACCAGCTTTGAAGTCCACTCTTACCTTTTGAAACCACAAAGATGGGACTGCAGAAAATCACAGACAGACTCTCATCCTTTAAATCGGTCCACAACAACATAAACCGAATGTTCAATCTTGCAGTATATCGACTGTATGAGTGAGGGGAATGAGTCAGGAGGAATAGAACCTTGAACACTGTAAGAAGATGTGTAGACATGACACCTATCACACACAGCAGGATCAAAGCACCCGCCAGAATATTCCGAGGTAGGTTTGTAGTATTGTCATGTCGATGAGGTATTCCTAGGAGCAAAATAGATAGGAAACTTCTCAAAGTTTTATTTAAACAGTATAAGTAGACTAGGTTAGGGTAAGTGCGTAAGAAATGAACTTGAACAAGAGCAGAAATAAACAGTTTGGCCTTTCAAAAAAATAAAAAAAATAAAATGAATGCTATTTTAAATGTTATGGGAAGTCATTGTAAGAGAAGGATGACAAACTGGGTTTGTGCCATTTGATGAAGCTATTGAGGACAGCCATGTACCCATAGGAATGAATATTGGTTGAGGAGGCTGATCTAGGTCAGCAAACTTATGGGAACAGTTCCCCCATTTATTATTTTAGATCAAGAATGGCATAAATCTGGCAGTGCTTTGTCTGCTTAGTTTTCAGGTTCTATATGCCTTCGCCATGTGGGAAAAGTGTACAAAATGGGCAATTACATTCACTATGTATTTGTTGGTGATATGTAAGAAGTACTTGTTTGCCACACCTAAATCTGAAACAGAATTGTGTGTGTGTGTGTGTGTGTGTGTGTGTGTGTGTGTATGTAAGTGCATGTGTGCATGTGTGTGTGTTGCTGAGGATCAAATGTGAACCCCACACATGCTAGGCAAGTGCTTTACCGCTGACTTTAATTCCCAGATATAAGGGACATAAAATCCTGTCCTGTGACAGGCACTGACACAGTGTCTAATATAGGAAGCAGTTATGGCCTCCCATGTTTTAGGGTCATCTACGATTACTAATATGAAGAACCACTTGAAGTCTTTGGTCTTTTCTGGAAAACTCATACTCATCCTGAATTCAATTATCTTGCTGAGTTTTGGGGGCCACTCAGATAGACTATTGTACAATGGTTGACATTTGGTAATCCAAGTTGGGTATTGTTGATTGCCTTGGTTTAGCTCCCACTATCATTGGGGAGAATTTTGAAAATATCCAAGTATTCTTGTATATGATACTTACAAAACAGTTTAGAGCATCCAGAGTATTGATATACGATGGAACATCTCAATAGCTCTTCTAAATTATGAGAATTTGCTTGCATTACCAAAAATCAAGCATGAAAACTCACAGCAGAGGCTGAAGGAGTCTGGAAGCGAGGTGGTGTATTAGCCTTGGGTGAGCCTCATGTTACATCTACATAGTCATGGAGTCCTTCTTCCCTGCTTCCTGTTAGAGTGTGTTGTGTCTTCAGTAGTAGGGCTCATTATCAAGTTCTAGGGGGTCACCAAGAGGAATGGCAAGAGCCTGTATCACTTTGGGGAGCCCTGAGGCTACCAGAACTTACAACTCCTAAGGAGGTATCTTACTGCTGATCTTTGGTTTCCGCTTAATAATTTGTGGCTACAGGAAATAGTGTCCTAAGGTAATCAGGCATCTTCAAAACATGTTTTAAAAGTATAAACTGTGCTTTAAATTTGATTATGAGATAGTAGGTTTCCGTGTTTTTTCTCATAGCTTTTTCTTTTGGATTAACCATTTCCTACTCTCTTCTCTCCCAAGTCCTTTCATGACCCTTCCACTCCCACTCCGGCATAGTACCTCTCTACTTGTATATTACCTATACTCTTTTAAGATACCCCCAAGGCCTCTTTCTATTTTCCTGACTTCTCTCTATACTGCAATTTGAGCATACAAACTTAGCCATCCAAAGCTAGTATCCCATATGAAGGAGTATATGTAACATTTGTATTTCGGTGACCTAATCACCTCACTCTACTTACCTTTCCCAGTTCTATCCATTTACTTGCAAATTTCATTTTTAATTAGATTTGAACAAAATACTGTTGTGTATGTATATCACATTTTTCGTTACTCATCCTTTAATTTATGGACATCTAGAATGATTCCATTTTATAGATACTGTCAGTACAGCAACAGTGAACAGAGAAAACCAAGTATCTCTGCAGTATGTTTATCCATGCCCAAGTGTGGTAGAGCTGAGTCATGCAGTAGATCTATTTTCACCTTTCTAAAGATCTCCACACTAATTTCTATAGTGTGAATATGTTTGCACTCCTACCCGCAGTGGATGAAGGTTCCCTTATTCCCATATCCTCACCAGTATATGCTGTCATTTCTTTCCTTGATCATATAGTCAGCCACTCCAACTATGGTAAGATAACACTCAAAGTGGTTTTAATTTTCACTTCACTGATGCTAGAAGATATTGAGCACCCTTTAAAAT